TTCTGGGAGGTGATTAGGTCAAGAGGGAATATATATATACATACATATATATATATGTACATATATAAGTTAAGATAGCTATACTACTAATTGCTATTAGTTCATTGAAAAGAAAGGTTTATGCATATATTGCTCAATTAATTTTTCATGCTTATATCTTGTAATATGAGCAACTACTTTGAAGATACCTTGAAGATAACAATATGCAATGTACTAACTGTTGTTACTCTCCTACAATCTTGTTCTGAAATTTTATGCGTTGTTTTTGTTTATTTTTGTTTTCTTTGAAATAAAAAGAGTGGAGCACTCATGAATGAGATTAGTGCCTTTATTTTTTTATTTTTTAAAGAGAATTAAAATAGTAAAAAAATTATAAATGATACAGAATTTCACTAAACAAGATGATAGGAATCAAATAGTGGTTGTTATATTGCATATTGTTGTCTTCAAATTAGTTGCTCATATTACCAGATATGAGCATGCAAAATTGGTCAAAAAATTAAAGAGAAAGAAAAATTAAGCATTAACTGTTCTTTTCAATAAACCAATAGAAATCAGCAGTACAATTATCCCAGCTATTCTTGCATATTCATATATATTTTTTCCCTTCCTTCTTTCTTTCTTTTCTCCTTTCTCTCATCCCAGTTGTTCCTTCCCTTTGAGCAGTTTCTTTCCTTTTCACACTATTTATCGTACCTTTCAGATTTTATTTACTCTTTCAGGTTCTTACACTAGAGATGCAATACCATGTTTATTTATGTGGGTCTGGTTTATTTCACTTATGAGTATGATCTTTAGTTGTATCCATTTACCTATAAAAGCCTCAAGTTTATCTTTTTTTTTGTAGTTGCGTAATATTCCATTGTATAAAAATACATGTCCATTCCTCCATTGATGAGAGATTAATAGCTTTATAAAAGAGAGCTCCTTTGTTCTTTCCTGTACAGGAAGAGTCAGTAGCCAGCTACATGGAAGAGAATATCACCAATAACAGACGATGCTGGCACCTAACCTTGAACATGAAGCTTTTAAAACTGTGAGAAATATTTAAATATTTACTGCCTGTAAACCACCCAGGATGTGTGTGTGTGTGTGTGTGTGCTACTTTGATATAGCTGCCTTAGCTGACAAAGACTTGTGCTGTGCTTTTATTGCTGAGTGTGACTTTCAAGTCCTCATGCTACCTCACCACATTTCTGACCCATACATTTTGTCCTCTGTCTCCATAGGCCCCTTGTAATTATTACTTGTGACATGTCAGGTGGTTTGGAACAACCTAGCACATTAGTAAATTCGGGGTGTGTCAGTGGGTGATTGACTTGTAGATCAGCAAACCAAGGGTGGGGAAAGACTCACCCTAGATGTGGGTGGCAGCAATCCCTTATAGCTTGGACAAAATAAAAAGAGAAAGAACAAAGAAGAGATTGGTTTTTTGGAGGGAAGAGCTCCAGTCTTTGTCACTGTCTTTGGACATTGATCTCTAGTTTCTTTGACCTTTGCACACATACTCTTCCGTCTTCAATGCAGTTCACACTGGTAACTCCAGGGTGCTTTCAGGCTTTTGCCATTCAACTGCTATTGGATCCTCCAGCTCTCTAGTGCACAGGTGGACATTTTGGATTCTTATACCTCTTACCCTGCACACAGGCAGACCTTCTGCCTCTGCTCCTGTTAGCTTACCTGATAATTTCCTGTATATATGTGTATATTTTATGTTGAGTCTGTTCCTGTGAAGAATCTCAATCAAGACAGATTTTGATACTAGAGAATTGGGATCATTGCTGTGACTGTACCCGACCGTGGAGTTCAGAACCTTTTGGAACTGATTCAAAGGAAAACTTGAAAAGGGTTGGAGATGCTGACTGGAGAAGCCCGAGAGTGCTGTAAATCAAGCTTGCAAGGAGGTTCTGGTCAGAGCTCTGAAGACCAGAATGTTGGTAGAAATTCACATAGTAAAGGCCAGGTTTCAGTTGAGAACAAGAACTCCATTGGTAGTTGGACTAGAGGCCAAGTGTATTACGCTCTGGCAGAAAATTTGCTTATATTTTTCCCATGCACTGAGACTTTGAAGGAGATTAAGATTAAAAGCAGTACACTAATTAGTTTGGTGGAGAAAATTTCAAAGTAGCCCAATAACTAGGCTGTGGTTTAAGTGCTGCTAGCTGCCTATAGCCAGATCTACCATGAGGATCAGGAATAAGTATTAGACCCAAATTTTGTGAAAAGTTTGCAGTTTCAACAGAAATGAAGCACCTACAAAGTTGGGCGCATGTGAGCATGGTTGCTAGAATAACTAGCACTAAGAAGAAACCAGAGGAGACTTTGGACTTGGACTTTTCAGCAACGCTGGAATTGTTAAGACTTTGGCAAAATGAGATGGGTGTGCACCTTTGGAGGAACAGGGGAAGAATATCATGGTTTAGATCGAAAATGTTCCCCCAAAGACTCAAGTGTGTGAAAGACGATTGGATCATGGGGGTGCTATACTCATCAGTGAATTAATCCACAGATGACTCCATACCTAGGCGTGCCCCTAGGAGGTGAGACCAGGTGGGAATAGGCAGCCACTGTGGGCATGACCTGGAAGGTCCCTCCCTGTCTGCTCTTGCTCCCTGTCCTGGCTGTCACGGGATGAGCCGCTGTCTTCCACCCAGCTGTCCTTCCATCGTTTGTGCACTGGAGCTAGCTGACCATGGGTTAAAAACAAGAGCCATGCTCAATCTCTCCTCCAAGCTGTGGGTGTCCCGGGGATGAAGGAAGTAACTAAGATACTCCACTCTCTCCGTAATACTCTAAGCCCTTCACACGTCTAGTGTTTGCATCTGCACTGCTTTATCTCCTCTGCCCTTGTCATTCACACCATCACCATATAGAAGATGCCGTATTCACCCTTGTGCCTCTCACTCTCCCTGCGGAGGCGTGTAGCAGCTCTTGGGAAGGAGGGGTGTCCTTGGGTCTGGCTCACAATGTGGTAGAGCCATCTGTTGATGGCTCAGAGTGATCACTAAAAGGCCACTCTTCTCTTCAAATGCCATCCCTGTGCAGCAAGTCAGCATGGTATTGCCCTTGGGATGGAAAGTCTCCAGCCATAGGGACAGTAGCCTCTGTCCTGCTTACTCTGATCTTCCTACACGGGTGGACAGGCCTGGGCACTCAATCCACACCAAGCCTCCTTACAGGAAAAGACCTCTGCCTGTTGGGCAGATAAAGCAGGTGGGGACACTGCTACCACACCAGGGTTGGCTTGTGACTGACTTATTTTAGTCCTGAGATCTTTATTTCTTAGTGAAAGATAAAGGAGCTCGCTGCTGGTGCAGCTGATGGAGGAGAAAAGCAAGGGAAGGAGGATGGCTTATGTCCAGGAGGTAGAAACATTAGATAGGCAAAGAGTGAACCCGGGTACTCGGCAGGGATCAGATCTATGCGATACAGTGCCCTTCACCATATGCGCTGTTCCTTCAGCTAAAAATTAACCTCTGCCAGAAATGGGTCATGGAGAGAAGGCCAGACCTCAGTGAATGTGCCAGTGTGGGAGGTGCTGGGTTACCACAGGCACCGCACCAATGGGTGGTCATGGGCTTCCAGGAAGTCTGCCAGGGAATGGTCCCTGTGCGTGTGTGTGTGTGTGTGTGTGTGTGTGCGCGCGCGGGCACGGATGCTTAGGCCCCCACACAGGGCCACTGATGTAGAACGAACCCTAGAGGTGTTTACAACTTACATGCATAGGAGCACCGAGCTGGGCGTGGCTCAGCGGCAGTGCAGCCAGACTGATGCGAAGGTGCAGGCACAGGCCCTGTCCTCCAGAGGCTGACAGCCTTCTGGGAAGATGACGTCATATGGCAGAGAGAGCTCAGCCCAAATGCTCCAGACGGCCTTCTGGGTGCTTAGGCGCTAACAGCTCAGAACAGGTGGGTGGTCAAGGAGAGCTTCCTGGAAGAGGGCTCACCTAGGTGAGATTCTGGAGAGATGAAACAAGGATAAGACACAGGGGACTGAGGGAAACACGACCAGGATTGGAAGCCAAAATGAGATGGACACATCCTCAGGGGAAGTGGTGCTGAGATGGACCCTGTGAGTTGGGAGAGGAAGGTCCCCAGTCAGTGTCTACCTGGTCCAACGTCTGTGCGAAGGGCAGAAAGTAGCGTACCCAAGATCATAGTGAAGAAAGAGTGACAAAGCTGGGACCAAACCCGAGCTTCCGGATCCCGAAGGCAGTCCATGCCTGGCAGGAAGCTGCTTCCTGCGGCCACAAAGCTGGAAACTGGTGAGGCTGAGCCCGGGCTGAGGCCAGGCATTTCCCTGAATGTCTGGTTCTTTGGTTCATCATCATAAAGAGTGTCTTCCCTTCAAATAGCGGGTCTGGAAGGTGGCTCTTCTTCCAAGATGCCTTCCCTTCACACCCCATCCTCCCCCACCCCTTGGGGAACAGCCTCTCACTTTCTTAGGCTACTGTTCATGTCCCCCGGGGGTAGGGTACATCAGCCTGGAAGCTGCTACAGTGTGTGTTGGTGGCTGGTCTGGGCCTGATTGCAGCCTGATCCCATCTCCCTTGAGCCTGGCCCCACCTCCCTCTGCCCATGCCCCCACCGCCCGCACTTTACCCTACTCCTCAGTAACAACACACATTCGCCATGCCCACATCCAGCCCCACCTCGAGGTCTACTTGGAAACCGGTGCCTTGTAAGATTTTATCCTTCCTATTCTGGATCCCCTTGCAGAGCCATCCACCCCTTGGGCATCCTGGCCCTGGCATCAGGAGTTTGACTGGCTGTCTGTCATCACAGCCAGTTTGTACGGTCTCAGTCACATCCCCTCTTCCAGGGCAGCCCCAGGGGTTTGGAGCTCAAGCAGGGGCACAGAAGGAAGAGGTAAGAGGGCCTGGGAAGCCTTCACATGCTGGCTCCTGGGGTCTGAGGCAGACCAGGCAGGGCGACGGAAGACGTTTTCCCAACCCCTGTCCAGAGAGCACTTAGTAGACAGCTGAAGGACTGAATGACAAACTTTATTAGAAACGCTCCTCATTCATCGGTCAAATTCACATTAACGTGGGGAGAGGCAGTGCCGTCTGGGGCTCTGGGATCCCACTGCTGTGATGATTTCCAGTTACAAGGGAGTCTGGGTGGAGCGCATCCAAAACGCACAACGGATGCCAAATGGTGGTGGTGGCAGCAGCAGTAGAAGCAGCATAGTTTGGTGAGAGGACCAGGCTTGCGGGGTGGAGAAGGTGTTTCCCACATCCACCCTTCCAGTTACAAGGCCACCGGCTTGGCCCCAAGGTGATAAATAAACAGCATGTCACACACACACATTTCAACAGGAAACAAACATGGGGAAGTCTCCTAAAGTGAAAAAATAATTCTCTCAAAGACAGCTTTGTGACAGCCAGGCTGCACCCTGCAAGGACAGCTGCCCAGAAGCCCCCACACTCCAGGAGGGCTTGCTGGCCTCTGCAGCTTCAGCCTGGATGTCACAGCGCCTCCACCCCAGACTCCCATTAGCACCTTTGGACTAAGGACTGCCCTCCCCAACTCTTAAAATGCAAACGCTACTTAAAAAACGTAATAATTAAGGATAAACTCTGTCCCTGGGGTGAGTCAATTAGACTCCTCTCCCTGAATAGAAGGGGCCGGGTGGGGGCGGACTCCGTCAGGGTCTGGGGAGGAGAGTGGAGGAGGCGATGTCCAGAGAGGTAAGCCTCAGGTGTCTAAACATTGCTTCCTCCACTCGCCAGTTCTGCTGTTGGGCGTCCCTGGGGAAGAGCTTCTCAAAGTGGCACAAAGTCCTAAGATGGCATCATAGTCTTGCTGTCCTTGCCAGGGGTAGAAGATGGGCAATGATCTGCTTTCTTCATCCATTATGCAGAGGCAGTTTTCTCCCCCAGCAGGCCAAGTCTCCCTGGCCCTGTCTGCGATGGCCACACCACAGAAAGTTTCCGGTCGCAATGTTTTATTCATTCTCTTGAAAAGGAAGCAGCTTCTCTGAGCAATACAAAGCTGCGGCAGGTGCCACAGCTGAGGTGCCAGGGCCCCGTGGCTTCCAAGGGGGCGTTGGGCTTGGGAGGGCTGCCTTTCTCTGGTTGGCCCTGCGTCCTGGGAGCCCTGGAAGACCCCTTTCCAAATGGGCTGTGTGACCATGCGTGACAGGCAGCCCTGCACCTGTGGGTGTCCACTGTCCTTCGGCATCCAGCTCACTGGTACTGCAGATAGTTTTTGAGAGATTGAGGCAAGGGCAGGGAGCTGATGTCCCGCAGGCGCTGGCGGCCCAGGGCGGCGCGGACAGATCTCCTGCACAGGTCCATGAGCGGCAGGGGCTCAGCTGCAAAGAGAGGGAAGCGGTCAGTCTGGCACCTGGCACCTGTGCAGCTCTCCTGCTTCCCCCACCTCTGGCGTACTGCCTGCCTGCAGCTGGGCCGAGCATGGCGCCTGTGGGTGCTGTGTGACAGGTACTGAAAGAAGTGGGGGAGAGGGAGGGAGGAAGAGGGAGGAGGAGGGAGAAAGGGAGAGAGAGAGAGAGAGAGGATTCAGGGACACAGAAAAGCTTCCTTTCTGATGGAGGTACAGTATTAGTGTAAAAAGTACTTCTCATTGAAGGTCATGGTAAAAAATGTTTGAAAGTCAGGGGCTTCATGTAGATCTGCAGGGGAGATTCCTCTAAAATGCAGGGTAAGGGGTTGGGGATTTAGCTCAGCGGCAAAAGCGCCTGCCTGGCAAGCGCAAGATCGTGAGTTCGGTTCCCGGTACCGGACAAAAACCAAAACCAAAAAAATAAATAAATAAATAAAATGCAGGGTAGCCTGCTGAGTGCTTATAGTCCTAGCTACTGGAGAGGCTGAAGCAGAAGGGGCTCTTGAGCTCAGGAGCTTCAGACCAGCCTGGGCAACAGACCAAGACCTTGCCTAAAACAAACAAGCAGAGAGCAGATTAAGCTTTTGAAACACCTTCAAACCCCCAAACTTCCCCCAATAGCTCCCACCATTTTTTCCCCAGTCCTAGGGACTGAACCCAGGATCTCAGCTGCATCCTGCAGCCCTCCAGCCCTTTACTGAGACAGGCTCTTGCTAAGTTGCTGAGTTGCCCAGGCTGGGTGCACACTTGTGATCTTCCTCCTGCTTCAGCCTCCCACAAGTGCTGGGATTACAGGCACGGGCCACCACGCCTGGCCACATAGCTTCTTTTGATCCTCAGGGAAGGAACAAATTTTCTTCCAACACCCAGCTCTGGAAAAATTCATAAGCAATGAAATTTCTGGACACAGGCCCAGTTAAACCACGTCTAACTAGGTTTACTGCAAACACCCATATTAAACACACATTCTCTTCCAGGTCCTCAGATGGGCCCTGGGGATACACAGCTAACTAAGCCAAGGCCAGCGGCTGCACTGGAAATAAACAAGGGTTCATGGTCGGGGATTTAACGTAGGTGAATAATTTTAACAGAGTCTAACAGTTGCAATAACTCTTAAAGGCACAAGGATAGACAGTTCCTGGATAGAGGAGCTGTTGGAAAGTTTCAAAGAGAGGATGTCAAAATGGAGTTTTGAAGGTGGATAGGAAAGAACACGGGCCAACTGTAACAGGCAGGGAGAAGAGGCAAAGGGACAGAGGCACAAAACAGGACAGGCTGGGAGGCCTGGGGGATAGGAGTGGTGCTGGCCAGCTGGCATCAGATGGGGGACAAAGACGACGATGCTCTCTTGTATGGCTTGCGGAGGTCTAGTTTCTCCACGCCCACAGGAACATGCATCTTAATACTCTTTGGATAACTGTACAAGGCCCATTTTAAAAGCATTCTAAGAGACAACTAAGCCATAGGTAGGAAATAGTAACGTGAGAGTGGTGATAGGAATAATATCACAAGGGAATACGGATAAGAGTGTGTTGTGCAGGGACTTTCAGTTACTGGAGCTGCAGAATTAATAAGAACGAGCTAGGTATGCTGCACATGCCTGTCATCCCATCCCTCTGGGAGGCCAAGGCGGGGGATCACAAGTTAGAGCCCAGCGTGGGGAGCTCAGGGACTTAGTGAGATGCTGTCTCAGAATAAAAAATAAACAGATGGGGTTAGGGCTCAGTGTGCATCCTGGGTTCAGTCTCCAGAATGGCAAAGAGTGTGTGTGTGGGAATCAGAATTAAAGTGGGACTTGGTGTCAGTGTTAGAAGCCACGCCCAAGCCTATATCTAGCTCTTTCACTGGAGGGGATGCCCCAAGAACCATTAGTGGTGTTAAACACTTTCACTGCCTTAGCATCCTCAGTCTCCATGTCAAATGAGATCGGATAGGGGAGGTCGGCTGTCCCCACTCTTCCATAGCTCAGGCCCAGTCACAGTGTCAGTGCCCCAGGCCATACCTGGTCCCTCTCTCAGGGCATCTCCATCTCTCCTCCAGCAATGCCCTTGCCTACCTGGTCTGGCCCTGATTCTGCAGCGCCCCCTGCCAGTCCTGCCCCTGGGAATCCCCTGCCACCCCTTGACCCGAATCCCTGTCTTGAACACTACGCTACCTTGCCCGATCATTCCCATAAGTTTCTGTGATCTCCTTTTAGCTCCTGTAGCATCAGTGTTTGCTGCCTGTGCCACTGGATGTTGGGGAAGAAAGAAAACCAACCAGGACGTATTTAATGAGCAAGTGCTACTTACCAGGCAAAGAGAGGAATGAAATATAATTGCGGCTACTCTGTACTGAAGGCTTATGATATGACCAGGCACTTTATTTATATTAACTTATATGGATGTGTGCAGCAAACTCGGACGAAAGCAGCCCTTTGGGGTAGGAAGTACCACTATTATCCCCACGAAGAGTAAACAGAATCAGAGCATGAGCCGCTTGCCCACGGACACACAGCTGGTGAGTGGCAAAGCCAGGAATGGAACCCAAGCAGACAGAAGCTGGAACTTGTCTTATATCTTAAACTACATTTGCTGAGCATCTGTTCCGTCCCTGTGGCCGTGCTAGACTTCTCTGGGACCTCAAAACGACCCTCAGGTTGACGTGACTACCTCATCCGGGCTTTGGAGGAGAGGAAACCGAGGCTCAGGGAGATGGAGAGGCTGGTGCAGCCACATAGCCCCAAAGCTTCAATTGGAGTATCGCACCACCTCCCCAAACATCAGGCAACAGTAGAAGGTGGCCCAAGGGGATAAGGAAGGAGGGTCACCTGTCTCCTAGGCTCCTGGATGATGGTGACATAGTGTCCAGCCTCTCCCTCTCCAGCTCTGGCCACTTTCCAAGCTGCTGCTGCCCACCTTCCCTGCATTCCTATAACAGGAGGGCTGGTTTGAATTCTGGGTTATTACGTTAGTGTGTTCAGTTCATAAACTACATTAAGCAGTACACCGAAGACTTACATGCTTTCTGCATGTATTTTATGCTTCAAAAACAAATATACATTAAAAAAGAACTCGCTGTTGCGGATTGTGTCTAGATGTCCCACCCCGCCAAAGCCTCATGCAGTCACAGGTAGAGGTTTCTCAGGGGTGACTGGATCTAGAATGTATGATGTTGAGATTAAGGGTGTGCGGTTACTAAATTAGTCCACTGATTGGTTGGGTCCCACCTTAAGCCAGGTAGCCTAGATTCAATATAAAAGGGGCAGAAGGAAGCTATTCTAGTTTCCTTGCTGGTTTGCTACCTCAAGGGTTTGCTTTTGCTGTCTTCTGCCTGCCATAAAGCGTTCTTCTATGATGCCCTCTGCCATGTGCCACCCTGCCTTGGAGCCAGCTGACTATGGACCGAGCCCTTTACAAACTGTGAGCCAAATAAACCTTTCCTCCTTTACTTTGGGCATCAGGTATTTGTCTCAGCAATGAGAAAAGTGACTAAGACAGTGGCTGAGTCCGGAGCCTCAGTGCCCTGCTGTGCGGGTGTGAACACACACAAGCCAAGCACCTGTCTGCCTGATCTACTGGGGCAAAGTGGAGTAAGGGGCTGGCTTGGAGTCTAGTTGCCACGCCCACCTCTGGTGGGACAGAGAGAGCTGGCTCCTCCTTTTCCAGCCACACTGTTCTCCTCTGTAAAATGGGTCAGCAATACTTCCATCCATGGGTGACTGTGACCATAGTGAAACCTAGCACGCCCCTTGCCTTACTGGTGTTCCTCTGAGCTATGCTTTATTTCAGGCCACCAGCCCATGGGGTACCTTTAAAAATGTACTCACTGTAGTTCTAAAAACGACTCAGTATATCATCCTAATTGACAACAGTGTACTGCTCTTGATGAAGATTTATTCAGACCAGGGCTGGATGTCTGGTTCTATGCTAAAAATATCACAAGGCAATGATGTCAAAAGCTCTCCAGTAGCAAGGTGTGGTAGCGCACTCTGGAAGCTGAAGCAAGATTACAAGTTTGAGCCCAGCCTGGGTGACTTCATGAGACCTTGTGACAAAGCAAAACAGAACAGAACAGAACAGAACAAAACAAAACCAAACCAGAAAAACCGCTGGGGATGTAGCTTAGTACCAAGTCCCTGGGTTCAGTCCTCAGTACCAAAAATGAAACAAAACGAAACAAAAACAAAACTCCAGTGGCCTGAATTTTGCTTAATTCTCCATCACTAACCCATGCAAGACCCAGGATGAATCACAGGACTCTGTTTTGCCATCTATGAAATGGGAAAGTAAGCTCTTCTGGTTATTATGATCTGTATCTGAGCTGGAAATAGGTGGAGATCTTGGCCCTGGGATTGATGGCTTAGGCTGCTTCCCTGGGACCCTGTGGTCTTGTCTGCAGTGGAGAGATGTTAAGATATGAGTCACCACTCTACCCTCATCTCTGAAATAAGATCAGTGTTTTAAGGTCAAGAGGTAAAATTCTTTTGTGGTAATTTTAGATAACGGTCACCAGATGGAAAAGGTTTGAGTGACAGTTCTAAAATCTGAACTTAAGTAGGCCTCGACACTGTTTGTTTTCAGGAAAAGAAATAAGCCACACACATGTGCCAGCACATACACACTGTATGTCGGTGCATTAACCACTTATCCACAGACTAAATTAGTTGTGGTGTCTGACGACTCTGAGAATTGCTTTTGTAGCTCTGGGGCTCCCCGACGCTACTCCTTTGGCCTAGAAAACCTTTTCCAGGAGCGTGCATCCCCCGTCAGGACTCAAATCCAGTGTTATCTCTCCCCATAGTCCGTGCCTGGGGTCTACATCCAGCAGGTGTCAACCCCCTTAGTTAATTACACAAAGAGACAAGTATATCATTACCTCCAACAATACTACTTCTAAAATACAGACTCCCTGTTCTAACTGACCTTACCACGGCCAAGAGAGATCTTGGCTCACATCTAGAAAGCACTTGGAATGTGGAATCTTCCCTTG